AAGAGCATAGGTCCCATCACACTCGCCTTGAGTTTCACCAGGAGTAAATCATGTTGAACAACATCGAAAGCTTTAAACAGATCTATAGACACTACCACAACCAATTCCCCTCTATCGCGCTTGCTCGTCCAATCCTCGGTTAACCTCAACAGTGCCGTCTCACAACTATAGAACTTTCTATATGAGCTGATGAAATCCAGCAGAATTGCACTGTAAAAATCACTCAGCTGCATGGCCAGCAAACTCTCATATATCTATATTGTTAAGCACGGGTAGGACTGTAGCAGGTCTATAGTTTGCTTTGTCAAAATCATCGTCTTTTTCAAACAAAGGCATTACCTGACCCATTTTCCAAGCCCTATGGTAGCATCCTTGATCAATAGAAGCATTCAGAATCTTAGCAATAGGCTTAGCTACAACAGCTGTCGTTTCTTTGACAAGCTTTGGCGGCATCATATCATGACCACATGATATGAGTATTCATATCCAAAAGTAATCTTTCAACCTGCACTTCATTTGTATACCAAAAATCAAAACAAAGTGGCATGTTTGTGTCCCTGCAATAATTAGTCGTGGCAGAATGACGGATGACTAAAATTTTCAGAAGACTTCAGTAGATTTTACCTATGTTGTTGACCATTCAATTTAGTGTTCGTCTGTACGATTTATTATATGGTTGATGAATTTATGGCTATTTGCATGGGAAATTAAGTAACTTACTTATGATTGGTTCATAAACGACGAAAAACTAGGCCTGTGCCAAAAGCGTACACAGGCAAATGATGCAGACATGCAAGTCAAAACAAGAGAGAATCTAATGCTTTTCCTGTGTGTATACAACCAGTGACGTCACAAGGTTCTTAAACTCAGTTCCAGAGCCCAGACACAGTTTTGCTCCAAAAAGTCAATTTTGGCACCTAAAACAGTTCTTTTTGTTAGGATCTGATAAAAATAAAGTTCACCATGATTCTAAACACATTTGAAACTATAGATTGGGAGAATAAACGAAAATTTTGTTTAAGTGGCTCTTTAAAATCAAAGTGCTCTATGAGCAAACCTGTCAATTTCCCAGTAGATGATGATTGACATGTGTGGCTTATGGGTTATTCTAGTTACGGTATATGAGTTACCATAATTATTGATTTCTGGCTATACTTGTTCTAGCATACTACATGCCCGGTGTATCTCATCCAATTTTCGATAATCAAACCCAATAGAGCACCAATCTTTCGACTGGATTTGGCAATCGAACATAATCAAACTCGCACTAAAATTTGGTCAATCAAACTAAATCGAACATTTGATTGCCGAACGGTTAACAGTCATACTCAATCAAACATGCGATAACCAAACTCCTGTTTGTTTGATATTTATGTTTAAATATTAACACTGTTAAAAAGCGAAGTAATGAAACAAAATGCTTTAATGTTACCCTATTATTAAACAAGTGTATATTTTGCAGAAATTTTGTACTTTGAACAGACCCCCTAATCCCCTGAATCCTTTGTTAGCGATATGATAGGATGATTGTCACATCTGCATAATACCATCTGCGTAATAGCCAAGTTCCTACACTGAAACCAGATCATACATTTGGTGCAATAGTAGGAAATGTGTTCGCATTTTTAGGGCACCACTAAAAGGCTGTCCAATAGCCCAGAACTAGTGAAACGATCGGTCGGGCTAGCGTCTTCTTATCACAGGTTGCCCGGTGAGCAAGCATGAAGTGGACATGAGTGAAACGATGTTAGTTGTTGTTTTTTTTCTCTTTTTTCTCATGACAAACTTCAGACATTGTGTTTAGCAGACAGTTCATTAGAGAAAGTGAAACGTACATGTACAATACAATTTTTTTCTAAGACAGAGTAAAATGTAAAATTTAAGCAACCAATATCAATTTTTTCCCAACTGCATGTACCCACAGCACGGCGGCAGTACAAGACAAAAACTTGCTGTAACAACGTTATCACATATTTTCATTATCCATGTAGTTAGTAGTTTGCTAGCAAAGTCAATTCAGTGCCATTTCTCTAATTGTCTTGAAGCAATTTTCAAAGATAATTAGTTATGCTGATGACTCTGTAATTTATACCTCAACGAAAGACATTGTCACAATCCAAAGACACCTCAATGATAGACAGCAGCTTATGTTGTTAGTTCAAAGAAAACAAACTGATAATCAATTTAAAAAAGGGAAGACTTAGGCTATGCTCTTTGGAACTGTGAAAAGAATCGATCTTTAGGGAAACGAGCTTAATATCATTCTCTGTTTATGGGGCATGTATCAACAATACATTTGTTTACAAGTACTTGGACATTGACCTAGACGCAAATTTGAACCTTACATTACACTTTCATAAAATTCACAAGAAATCAGCAGCAGAGCTAACCTCTTAAGATCAATCAGTTCATCGATCGACCAAAAATGTGCTGAAACAATCTATAAAACAATGATCTCGCCTATTTTTACATGCTGGGGATCACTTGGTCTTGGTTGGTCAGACACCCAAAATAGTTTGATAAACAACATTGAACAATGAAGTTTGAAAATTATTGGTGACAGCAATCTAAAACTACCATCAGCAGAGAACTTAATTAAGCGTAAAAGCAGTCAATTTGTCTGTGACTGTCTTCAAAATAATGTTTGGACCACCTACTTTGAAAGATTACTTTGCTCTAAGAACACAACGAACAATGGTTTATCAGTGAAACTGCCAATCAAATTTAGATCCATAACTTCAGGATTTTTATTTAGCATAAGCTTAAGTGAGCATTTTTACTAATATTGTACACCTTTTCTACCCATTTTTACTTTTTTTCACGTTATTTTCACTATAGTTTGTTTTACAGGACCCCTCTGATAACAGTGTTGAATACATTGATGGGTTATCCTGTTTAAATATTTGTTGCTGTTATTTTTGTTATTATTATTTAAAACATAAGCAGCCGAATATTCACGTTAAAAGCTGACTTTTCGAGGTCATTGTGACACCATTCTCAAGGCAAAGTTGATAAATAATGCAAAGATTTGATTTCTACACAGTCTCTACAAATTAGCATAATAACAAAGGATCACAAGTTCTTCAAGTGAATACCTTTCCGAGAATCGAGTCCATTTGCACGTTTAGGGATGGTTTAAGTTTTCTGATAAGAAGCATCTCCTAAATTAGGCAATCAAATTTGTTAGAACATTTAGTAAGCGTGTGAAATTGTTTTGAAAGACAATGAGGTCCGTTCGAGTTGTGTTGGCTCAAATAATGTGTACAAATTGACAACGATATTATTTTGTTTGTGTCCATCAATGCGTTCGTGGAGGTGGCCACGAGTGTAACCAACATATCCTGCATCACACAGGTTACATTGAAATTTATCAACTAGGCATTGTTGGTAAACAGTGGCTGGCTTGACTTCTCGAACTTTAAGGTCTTCGTTGAGTTTTCTGCTGATGAACATGGGCTGAATTGTGGTCTTAATTTTTGATGGGTAGCGGAGAGAATTGGGCGCATAGCAAGTTGTTCCTTATGTGTCTTCAGTAGGCCATATAGGTCTGCAAGTCTAGAACCTTTGGAACGGATGGAGTCGGTAATGGGCCTGGGTAGTACTTTAGATATGACAGTGCTAAATTGCTTTTCCCATTGTAAAAGCGGACGATAATATTTCACTGCCCTTCCTCTTGTTTTGGGTCTCCGTGTATCAACTGGTCTAAATTTGCTGGTATCATTAATGGAGGCTTCAAATAGCGTGTGCAGATATTCAGATTTGTCCATTACAACAACTCCGTATGGCTTTGTAACAACTATGTCATCTCGATTTCTCAGCTCCTCGAAGACCTTCAAAAGGGCTTTTGGAGGTCTAAGACCCTTCTGGTTGATGTAGTCCAATGCCACAGATCATAGTGTCGTGGCAGTTAGCTCTTTCATGTCGTCACCTACAAAGTGGGGCTTGATATTCCAGTATGCTTTTTCAAAGCTGGCCAATGCTTTTATGTGCTCCATTAAAGATAAACTCAATCAAGAAGGCAAATTGCCCTCCATTATCGACGATATGTGGATGACACCTTTACCATCATGCCTGATACAGCATCAGCCGGAATTTTTCTTTGGCACCCTAAACCACTGCCACCCATCAGCAAAGTTTACTATGGAGGTGGAAATGAATGCCTCGCTTCCTTTCATGGCTGTTGAACTGTTAAACTTAGCTCCCAGAATCAAGACCAAGGTGAAACCAACTAATACAGGCCTCTTACTCCACTACCAGAGCCATATGGATAATCAGCACAAGCACAGTCTAATTACCACCATGTTAGATCGAGCTTACCACATATCTTCCAGCTGGTCGTACTTCTCACAAGAATGCGATTGACTTGAGACCGTATTCTTAAAACTTAAGTACGCGAGGCACTTATTCAATTTGGCTGTCAAGCAATTTGTAGATTCCAAGGTAGCAGACCAGCAGCACATTCCATCAACCAAAACAACTACACCCACCATCCAAGTTATCGTACCATTTAAAGATGACAGGCCTCTGCTAATGTAGTGAAGAAACGTCTCACAGACCTCAGCTCAAAACTCAAGACCACAATTCAGCCTGTGTTCATCAGCAGAAAACTCGACCAAGACCTTAAAGTTTGAGAAGTCAAGCCAGCCACTGTTAACCAACAATGCCTAGTTTATAAATTTCAATGTAACCTTTGTGATGCAGGATATGTTGGTTACACTAGTGGCCACCTCCACGAATGCGTTGATGGACACAGACAAAAATCGTTGTCTATTTGTACACATTAGTTGAGTGAACATACCTTGAACGTACCTCCTTGTCTTGAAAGAGTGAAGTGAAGTGAAAGACTTTATTTAATGAGGGTGACCCGTGACAGTAACTTAAGTTACTGATAAAC